ATGTTGCTTTTGCGACCTCCGCACCTACGGCCAGAGCCTCACAGGTGCGGTTACACCTGATGACAGCAACCCTCAGCCCTTCTTCTAAGTCCAAACTCTATCCGTTTATCATCCGGATTCCACCCGAGGCTCTTGGGACCTCAATTAATTCTACCTACGCGTCCCAAATCACATTACGAACTTAGTCAATCCTTCAAATCACATCATACAATATCAAAATCATGAATCACATCCCAATTCAAGCTTAATGAACTTTAGAACTTTAAACTTCTACATTCAATGTCGAAACTTATCAAATCATGTCGATTGACCTCAAATTTTGCGCATAAGTCACATTCGATATTACAGACATACTCCAACTTCCGAAATCGGAATCCGACCCCGATATCAAAAGGTCCACTTCCAATCAAACTTCTCAAAAACCTTCTAATTTCTAACTTTTGCCAAATGACCCCAAAATGGCCTACGGACCTCCAAATTCACTTCCGGACGCGTTCCCAATACCAGAATAACCATACTAAGCTATTCATATGCTCGGAATCCCAAACAGACATCAATTACATTGAAATGCTCTTCAACCCAAATTTATGAAATTCTTCCGAAATGCTAACTTCCACAATAGGCGCCAAAATGCTCCCGGATCATAAAAACCTGATCCAGACATATGTCCAAGTCCAAAATCATCATACGAATCTGTTGGAACCTTCAAATCCCGATTCCGAGGTCGTTTACTCAAAATCAATCCTTAGTCAGATTCTTCCAACTTAAAGCTTCCGAAATGAGAATTCTCTTTCCAAGTCAACTCCGAACTTCCCCGAATTCAATTCCGACCACACATACAAGTCATAATATCTGAAGTGAAGCTGCTCATGACCTCAAACCGCCGAACGACATGCTAGATCTCAAAATGACCGATCGGGTCGTTACATCTGTTGTCTCTTTATCCTTCCCTTGCCATCCTTACTTCTGTATCACCATCATCCCTCGCAAAAAATATGTATCTGAAACTTCATTGTAATTAACTTAATTTAATTAAGGCTAATAATGGTCACGAATGATCAGTATGAAAATACAATTCCTACCACTCCCCACTTTCCAACACTCTTGTTAATTATGATCCAAGATGTAGTTCAGGCTATTCTCATTCTCATCAAAATATTAGCTAAATGATGCATAAAAGATCTCGGGCAAATCCGAAATCAAATAATATCATTTGGATAAGTAGGATATCTCGTTTAATTAAGTTGTATAGCAATCCTATGTTGAGAATCTTTTTAACAATTTGTCAATCTGAATAATAACATATATATTTTTGTGAAAAATTATTAAGATGGTTAAGGGTTAAAAATACCCTTAGGGGTCGTTTGGTAGGATGCATTAGGTAAAATAATGCATGCATTAGCTTTGTGTATTAGTAATACTTTGTTTGGTACACTTTTTGAACATATGCATCAGTTATGCAAGTGTTAGTTATACACTCTATTTGGTATTATCCTATGCATAACTAATGCATAAGAAACCATGGCATTAACAATGCAATGGATTTTAATGCATGCATTAACTTAGTTAAAGACAAATTTGTCCTTCAAAATTTATGCTTGATTAAAATATGTTATTATATTAAAGCAAGTTTGAAATAATCCAAGAAAGTGAAAAATAAAATTATGTCCCTAGTAAATAAATAAATAATTAGCATATTTTTTTTTATAAATAAATATTAAGTTCTACACTACAATATATGTAGACAAATTAAATAATTTTTTAAAACCTTTTTATATAAAAACATTCCTCAACATATGTTTTTTTTAAAAGATAAAGTAATGGACTGATTATGAGGGTATTTTTATAAACAAATAATTCTTATAGAAATTGTGCAATGCATTAATACATTAAACCAAACAATGGATAAGAAATATCTCAGCATAACTAATGCCAGCATAACTAATGCAAGCATTACTAATGCAAGCATTACTAATACCAGCATTACTCAGCATTATTCTTATACACTCTGCCAAACGACCCCTTAACCTATTAGAAATGTCTCAACAATTCCCCTCATCCACCTTTTGGCCCAAAAATTCCATTAACGTTTTCTTTAGTATTAAAATTGCCCCTTAAACTAAATTTGACTTATGGGTTGTGTGGGAATTTTTACCTGCATTAGGTAGGGATAAGGTCTGCGTACAGACTATCCTCCCCAGATCCCACATGTTGGGATCATACTGGGTTTGTTGTTGTTATTGTTGACTGTGGGGATTTTTGCAAATCCAAGTGTCACTTTCTAATTGGTAAACGTTAAGAAATAAATTAATTAGACCCAACCCACATATTCTAATAGGGTTCTTCAACTTTTTCTTTTCTCTTCTAGTTTGTTACTTAAAATTTTCTTTTATTCTTCCTTTCAATCTTATTGCCACAACTCCATTTTTGGTGTGTTAAAAAATTGGTTCTTCTGGTATAAGTGTCAAAGAAATTTTGCCGAATTAACTTTTATTGAAATCTCCTAGAAAACTGGTGTGGATGAATGGAACTAACGGCTAGTACCCATTTGTAGATATTGTTGTGTTTGGTTGAATGAGACATGTCTTTTGTGACAATATGCATTTTAAAGCTGTTGTTTTATGGTTGAAAAAAATCTGCATTTTAGCAACGGAAAAACTATAGTTTTTGGTGTTAAAATACTGAATTGACACTTATTTTAACACCGTGGAAATCTGCTTGTTGCTTGTTTAGTATTAAAATCTACATTATAACATTATGAAAAATGGCTATTTATTGGGTTAAAATTCTACTATATTCTAGCATTTCTAAAGCTGCTATTTTTAAGTTAACTACCTGCATTTTAGCAACTGAAAAGCTACCGTTTTTGGTGTTAAAATATAGATCTTGACACTCACTTTAACATCATGAAAGAACCAAACATTAACTGAAAATAGTAACATTGCAAACTATCACATAACATGTAGATTGCTATTAGAACAATGGCTTGCATCCATAACTGTGTTGTTCCTTACACCAGAAGAATCAACCCTTTTACAAAGAAAAAAATGAAATTTGATGAAAAACTTGAAAGAAAAAAGAAGAGAAAAAAACTGAAGTAACAAATTGGAAGAAAAAAGAGGGAGGTCAAGAACCATAATTGTCGTGAAATGAAGATGAAGAAAGGATATTGGGTTTAATAGAAATATGAGTATCAGAATATGTTGTTGGGGTATAATTAATTATATTCTTTAATTTGATCAATCGGAAAGTAACACGTGGATTTGAAAAAAGTCTCACATAGCCAATAAGCCAAACGTTAGTTCAAAAGGAAAATTTTGATACTAAAAGAAACGTCAATCATTTTTTTGGTCCAAAAGGTAGATGAGGACATTTTTGTGCCATTTCTAATAGGTTAAGAGCATTTTTACCCTTTTAGAAAGAAATATTGACCCTTTTTAAGGATTTCAGGAAAAGAAGTTTAAAAAGGACATCTTTGTTGTTTGATTCTTTTAATTTTGGAGTAGCTAAGTCTGAATTGTTGTATGATATACGAATAATAAGTACCAAAATTATGATACAAATAATTCAAAATTACTTATGTCGAAATAAAATTTTCAACCAAATACAAAAAAGTAATATTATATCTTATTCTAAAATTATTATCTTTAGTCCATTATCATTATATCAAAGTGGGAGGCTCGACATACTTGTGCAGTTTTTCGGAAAATTCAAGCAATGAAAAAGAAGTTTGTGTGGAATGATAAAGTACTTTCTTTTACTTATGCGCTATATTTTAAGTAAATGGTATAGAGATTCTCATGGCTGAAAAGAAGTTAGGAGGTTTGTGAGTGTTTCCACTCGGGTTGTGAGCTCTTCTTAGTCAAAGCCTCCACCTGAATCTAGAAATGCAATATAGATGCAGTTGTCTTCCTTACTTTACTTTAGGTTGTGTGTGTTTTAGCAAGTTAGTTTAATTTGTAGATGCAGCTTCTTCAGTTTTTCGAGGTTGTGTCAAGGCTGAAATTATGGGTTTATGTTTTGCTCTCGCCTGATTGTATAGTTAAATGTGACGTCCAAAATAGTGTGCAATCTTGTAACTCCTAAATTGATTTTTTTTTTTTTTTTTTTTACAGAATTTGGAGTATTTTAAAGGATTGTCGTTTTTTATTAAAAATAAATTTTGATATTTCTCTTATTTAAATTAAGCGGCAAGCAAATCTAATTGACTATTGCTTGACAAGAGAGTTTAAAAATTATGCTAATCCTTTTTCTTTAAGAGTAAGTATAAGCTAATTGGTTGCTATTAAAAATCTGTTTGAATTAAACAAGAAAAAAAGTAAAAGGCAACAGTGAACTGAACTATGGTTGAAACAAAAGAGACTGCCGGTTTAACTCTCCACGGTTTGTTCACTGCATGTTGGACACGTGTCGCACGTTCCCTTTCCTCTTACCCTTTTCTTTTGTCTTTTTCCCTTTCCTCCTTTTGTTTTTGAAATGCTAGGCTGAATACAGTTCTAACGGGGAAAAAAAAAGGAGTCTCAAAGCTCAATTATAACTACCGGACTGAATTAGGAAGCTGCCATTAAATTCAATGGAAATGAAGCATCTTTCCTCTATTGCCAACGACGTCATTTGTAGATGTGCCCAGTTAGTGTTCTCTCTCTCTCAGTTAGTGCTGAAATATATATATATACGAAGTCGATTCATTATATAATATGAATTAAAATATTAGTTGACTTATATCTTACTCCTCCTATTTTATTTTATTTTATTTTAGGTGACGTACTTTAATTGAATATGAAGTTTAAGAAGAAGACTTTTGAAATTTGTGAGCGAAAATATGTAAAAGCTATCTAAAATTTAAAGATAAAAAATTATTTCTAAAAAGATAAGTAATTTTTTTTATACAATCTAAAGCAAGACACTAACCTACCTTATTATGTTCTTGAATTTGGATACATTTTAAGTGGTGTTACACTAGCAGCTAATTCAATGAATGCCTAGAGCATATTATAATAAAACTTTGAAGTCATTAACTACAATGAGCTAGGCTCAGTCATAAGATCAGAACCCGTAACCTTCAAATTCGGTACCTACTGACAAGGTTGAACAACCATCTGGAACTAGAGAAGTCTTATTCACTGCCAATATAATGTGAAAGAAAACAAATGAAAATCTATCAATTGAGCAAATTTCACCCCCGAATATCATGCTCAACTCATTTAATCTTCAATTTTGTGAAGAATAGTTTAGTCCTTCCTCTTGCAGATTCAACAAGTTCAGTTGAAATATATGAACATTTATTTTATTTGTTAGCGGATTTTTTCAACGAATAAACTGCCAGATACCTGAATATTTGGGATTTTTTTTTCCTCTATGAAACTTGGCTTAAAACTGTGTTGGTTTCCTTTTAGGCTGTCCTGTTTGGTTGCTTTTTCCTTGTAATTTTTGTCTGGCCTTGCTGTTTAGCTTGGTTTTTTATTTGAACGACTAAGCAAAGCTCAATTATCTACTTGTGGAAAATCTGAACACCCATAGTTAAGGTTAGATTGATACAATTCTGGTGCTTGATTATGATGAGAGCAAAAGAGTTGTCCTTGTTGTTTCTTAACTTTTGGCTTTCATTGTGCCCACTGCTCAGAGACGGAGCCCGGATTTCAAATTTATGAGTTCTGGATTTTAAAATGACGACTTCAACTGCTAATAACTGGGTTTTAAATTTTATATTTATACGTATTTAATATAATTTTTTTAACACAAATACAATGTTTGAGCAAAAGCTACTGGGTGCGGCCGAACCCGTAGTCGGGCTTCTAACTCTGCCCCTGATTGTGCCACAACAAATTATTCTGGTTATGTAATCAGCTCTGCTTTGATTTGAACTCTACGCAGCTGCATACAAAATTGTGAAAACTCACTTCACCTAGTGTGAATTTTCTGCAAGTTATTAGTAATAGATATTTCCTGTCAGGAAGTTGGACACCTCCGTGGATAAAATAGTACATGAATTTGAGGCTGGATGGGAGCCTGAAATGGAGGGATATTCGAGGAAGTTAGTGGAGTTTTGCTGTTCCAAAGCCCTCATTGATATGTGCAGTGAATTAGAAGAGACGATCGACGATGGTTCTTTTATCCGTTTCACTTTTGATATGATGCTGGCATGGGAAATGCCTACTTCAGCAGAAGAAGAGATACATGGAGTTAATGTCCTTAGCTTTTTTACCCATTAGCTTTCTCTTATTTACAGTCTTCACGTGTTTTATGCTTCCTGATTTAATCACATCATTTGTTTGTTTGAATCAATGAGAGTTCTTTTTTTTTTCTTTTTTTTGATAATTCCTTGTCAGCTGTAGCGGAAGTCCTAATATTTGTTGAATTTGAAGATGAGTCAGAATGAATGGTTCTAACTTCGTTTTTTTTAATTTTGTGTTGTCTCAATTAAAAAGCTTGCATCCCAATAATTCCTCCAGGTTGGATTCTGTAGGTAATTATTTTGGTGAATCTTTTTGGAATACTCGAGGGGAAATAAAACATTAACTGCACACTACTATTTAAGTACAGAGTAAATTTGAATATTATTGAGTAAGACATAATTGGTTTGAAAATGAATCATCTCAAGCCCGTCCTACGGAAATATTAGTATTTATAAAAGGATAGCTCGGTGCACAAGGCATCCCACGTTCATGCAGGATCCGAGGAAGGGCCGCATACTAATGTAAGCATTGGTGGCTGGTTCCACGACTCGAACCCGTGTCCTATAGGTCACACAAAGACAACTTTACCATTGCTCCAGGGTCCCCTACCAGACATTAGTATTTATATTCTGCATTAAATGTTACAAGTGTCATGCTTTTAGCCGATCAAAAAGCTTTGTTGATTATGTACTAGAATATTAAATCAAGCCAGATAGAAGCTTTTTCATTGTTACAGTTGGAACTCTAGTTAGAAGTTTGATGTATGCTTTATCTTGACATGATCTGCACCTTATATTACATGTCTTTTCTAAATACTACAGGAGTCGTTGGCGAACGAGAAAGAAAACGAAAAGGTGGTCTCTGAGATGCCTCAGGAACAAGATGACATCCCTTTGTTCTACTCGGATATCTTGCCGTTCCTTGTAAGAAATCTGGATCCTTGAGTTAGACCTGTGCTTTGTTACATTAGCAAATTGGAACAAGTAATTGATGCTTTACATATTTCTCTTTGGTTGCTTGTGTGTGTAGTAGTACAATGTTACCACTCAACTTATGATGATAACATACTTAGATGGAAGCTTGGACGTTATTAGTTTTCTTTCACTGCATTTTACTATCCTAACTGAAAGTGATTGGGTTCGCAGGTTAGCCATAAACCAAGTGCTGGAGAGGATGCTTTCTTGTGGCTGTCGACAATTGTACATTTAGTAGCTGATGTTGTTAATGGAAGATTCACTTTCGAGACTCTGACAGCGCCTACAGAAAATCGATTGCATTTTCCGGCTTATAACTTATTCTTGAAGGAGATCATAAAGTAATTGTCCTAGATCCTTGCTCTCCCTCTATTACTTGGTACAGTATTCTGGTGAAGCTGTAATTCCAAAATGGACTCACAACCAATGACAAATTAAAAGGACGCAATAGGTACAATATCGCTGGTTCCAAGCAGAGGCGGATGTAGTGTATAACGTACGGGTTCAACTGAACCCATAACTTTCAACGCGGAGTCAAAATTTGTATGTAAAAATTCACTAAAATTGCAAAAATAGTAGATATGAACCCATAACTTTAATAATATAATGGGTTCAATGTAAAAAACATTAAAATTGAACCCATATGATTTAAATCCTGGATCCGCCTCTAGTTCCAAGAATGGATTTTGAGATAAGAAGTGTACTTTAGAATTCTACCGTCATGAAGGAATTTCTAGCGAAGAAGATATTTCCAAAAGTTCTTACTTGCTAGGATCAAGAAGAGTTATTTATCTCAGTTTCAAGAGAATTTAGGTTATCCACCTGAATTCATTTTTTCTTCTTTTTTCGCTTTTATTGGGGAGGGGGCGGGGAGGTCGTGTGATGATGCTGTTGCTTAAAATGCAAATTTATAACAAAAGCAACCCGAAAATGGAGAATATTTCTTCTAGCAGAAAAATGTCATGTTTCTGAAATTGTTTCTCTAGGTCTCATCATTCTTGTTGCAATTTCTTGTGTCTGCGGACTTGCAATAGGTGCATAAAGCATTTGCAAAAGCAAGAAACTCCAACCGGTGTGGACATGGCAGATGACGAGGTTATACTACACGTAGAAGGAACTGCAAGTTCACAGAGAGTAGTGCGCCATATTGGAGGGGCAAGTTGGCCTGGTACTCTTGCCTTTCTTCTTGTTTTGCGTTGCTATGTGAACTAGGATTTCAAAGATTACTATATTCCCTAAGTTACTTCTATTTGTAGGTAGGCTGACACTAACAAACTATGCCCTTTACTTTGAGGAATCTGGAGTCATCTCTTATAAAGATGCTATTAAGCTCAATCTTTCAGAAGACTTCGAGCAGAGTATCAAACCTGCTGCTACAGGTCCATGGGGTGCTCCGCTTTTTGACAAGGCCATATTTTATGAATCTTCTGAATTGTAAGTATTTTCTCAGCATCCTATAACATGTTTTTAAGGCTTAAATTCTATGCACTCTGCACTTCCTTCAGGTTAGTATGGATAACATTGACTTGGCATTATTTATTTTAAACCTACTTCACGGATTTCTGCAAGAAGGCTAGTTTTGATTGTAATATACTGATTTAATGTGGGGTATTTCACAATTTGTTAGGAGCTTGTATATTTGCTAAATTGTGTATGTTTATATTGCTTCTGTTGCGGAAGCCAAATGTATATAGTGTGAATGAGTCACAACTACTATACCAAAAATTATGACAGCCACCAAATAATAAATAAGACAATAAAGCAACAATAAAAGGAACATCAGAATTTACGAGGTTCGGCCAATTTTGCCTACTTCCTCGGACACAACCAATATTTTATTCCACTCCAAAAATACAAGTGAAATAATACTAAAGAGAGAAGATACAAATGCCTTAAGAAGATAAGAAGGCAAATGAGAGGTGTATTTAAATCCTAAACATTAGGCCTCCTTTTATAAGGGAAAAATCCCAACAATTTTTTTCCCCAACCGATGTGGGAGTTTGACAACTTCAACAAATCTCCACCTTGGCAAAATTCTACATCTTCAATTTTCTCTTA